GGTCAAATCATTAATTAGTGGACAGCTTAAGCTGCGTGCGGATACTCTAGAGCACAGTCTGAGGTTTTAATTGTTATCATTCCTCTCATGGGTCCATTCTGTGGGGATAAGTTTAAGTACGGCCACAGTTAAAGCGACTAAGAAAATATTTTGTAATTTATTTTAGATTTATTTCTTGTGTTTTTAAATGAAACATATTGGTTTTAATTTAGCTTCACACACATGTTTGACGTCCAATATAAACTCCTTATCAAACTACACTGTACTACTATACATGTATAAATATATAGACGTGTCAAAAGTTTTGAAGTGTAAAATCTTAATTCATCCTCCTACCTAATTTTGTGTCCGTGTGGTGGCGGATTAAGAATACAGAGTGTCACCGCCCCTATTTATCCCGTGGGTGTCTTAAGAGCCGACTGAGGGAGTAAACTACGCAAGACAACAGCACTGCAAAGAGAAGGAAAACTTGAAACAAACCCTATACCAACCGGTCTGGCCAGGGTGGTATACTAGGCCAAAACCTCCTTTCTTAGGAGAGGCCTATGTCCAGCAGTGGACTAGTAAAGGCTATTGATGTAGATGATGATGATGATAATGACCTAATTTTGGGACAGCGACGGTAAATCTGTGTGTTTGAAATAAGTGCACGTTTTAAGAACTTAATAAAAACACGCTGTTACTCGTATTAAGTAGCTTTCATAGAAAAATAATCTAAGATATAATTATACTTACTGTGTTTAGGCAGGCGCTCACACTATCAAGGTTGTCTATAATGAAATAATTAAATGTTTGTAATATTAAACAATATTTCAGCCAGACACCGCCACAGACGCGTCCGAACCAAGTGCTACACAGACTGGCTAACGCTTGCACATGCACTCTCCCAAAGTATGTGTCCTTACAGTACTCCCCTTTTAAAAAAAAAACCCGTTTTTTTTGTTTTACTAACAATAAAGATTCGTGTTTTTCTATTGTTGTCTCTATCTATACTTATGATGAAATAACAGAGAAATGTCTGCACACTGAAATTTTCTTAGAAAAGTACCAACCGGATCGTAATGAAACTTGGCACAGTGATTTAGCATATATAGAGATAGCATCTGCAATAGCTTTTATTCCCGAAAAACTCTGACCTAGCGTGGATTGGAGCCTTAAAGTGTAGTTTAAAATTTTATGTTTGAGTTTTGAAAATGAGTTTAGGGGTTCGAAATTCGGGCACGCCGTCATCGCGGCGGTAAGACCCGTTAGGGAGGATTGGCTCGAGAGGCGTCATGGGACCCTCTCATACCGATTGACGCAGGTGATCACTGGGAAGGGATGTTTCGGCTATCACCTGTGTCTGATCCGCAAGGAGCCAACGCCTGAGTGCCACCACTGCGATGGCCAGACCGTGGACACGGCTCTCCACACGCTGGCAGAGTGCCCGGCGTGGGTTGAGCAGAGGCGAGACCTCGTGGCGGCCATCGGGGTGGGAGTTCTCTCGCTCGGGACTTCCTTTCTAGGGTATACCTGGTTCCCCGGCTATTAGTACCCGAGACGGCGTGCGGTTTTAGTCGGTTCGAGTCCGACATGCCACCGACAGGTAGTATCCGAGGGGATTTCCGCACGGTAAAAAAAAGGGTTTCGAAATTAGAAATAGATAAACACGTATATCTTAGAAGTGTGATATTTTATTGTCGGCTATTTAGCAGATTGCATATAGCCACAGGTAGACGAGTGGTTAAGCCGTTGGACTGCATTGAGATGAGAGTAAGTACGGTTCCCAGTGTTCTATGGGTTTTTCTGAGTTAAAATATTTAAAAAAGTTCAATGTAAAGACACTTTTTCACTCTTTTATTATGTGTATAGGTAATCGTTGTTACCTCCGTCAATGCCCCCACACCTCAAAGCTTTACGTTAAATGAGGAATCTTACACAATGCTGCCTTACTCATCGGCGCCAGTGACAATCAAACGGTGTTTAATTACGTCCTCAATCCCACTGCTGGGATTAATGTTACTAAGAAACTCTTTCAAACACGTCAATATTGTTTAGTTTTTATCAAAGACAGAAGAACATCAAAGAATGAATCGAGAATTGGTCACTCAAGTGAGAATTACCAATCAAGAACTGAAAGGATATCGAAACAACAATTTTATTTCGTCAAAAATCTTTAACACATTGAGGATAGGCGAGAAAGTTCCAACAATTGGTCAAATCTGTGGTGGATTAAACTTAGTTAGGTTTTCTTTGTTTTGGAGTATATTACTATCTCCAGTCTTATAGAAAGGCGTATTCTAAAATTTCAGCCATCCGGTACTCAAAAAATAACTACTATCTGTTGACAAGATTCTAACCTGTAAAATTATTACAAAAAAATGTAATTCATGAAGATATATTATCACATCATCAACAGCTTTTACTAGTCCACTGCTGGACATAGGCCTCTCCTTAGAAAGGAGGTTTTGGCCTACTACACCACGCTGGCCAGACGGGTTGGTATAGGGTTTGTGTCAAGTTTTCCTTCTTTTTGCAGTGCTGGTGTCCTGCGTTGTTTTGCGCCCTTAGTCGGCTCTTACGACACCCACGAGATGAATTGGGGTAGTGACATATCGTATTCTTAGCCCGTCACTACACGGATATATTATAAAAAGTAATATAAAATTTAATACACTTTAAAATTTGAGTATATCAACTACAACATCGAACCTTATAGTTTTGATTTGTATATAAATAATATAGGCGGACTCAAGATAGCACAGGTATAAACCTTGTTGGTTGGTTGGTTTTTAGTTACTTTTATTGTATAAATCACTGTTATTATTATTTTCAGGAGAACAGCACTGCCAAAGAAGGAAAACTTGACATAAACCCTATACCAACCCGTCTGGCCAACGTGGTTTAGTAGGCCAAAACCTCCTTTCTAAGAAGAGGCATATGTCCAGCAATGGACTATTAAAGACTATTGATATGATGTGACTCCAAGTGAACTGATGTGTTAATTTTTTTTTATGTTATATGGGGCAGACGAGAAACGACGAAAGTGACCATCGCCGCCCATGAACGTCTGCAACTCAGGAGTCACAAACGCGTTGCCGGCCTTTTAGGAAGGAGTACGCTCTTTTCTTGAAGGTTTGAAGGTCGTATCGGCCCCGATATACCGCAGACGATGACCCGTTCCACAGATTGGGTGTTCGGGGCAAAAAGTGTCTCGAGAAACGCACAGTAGATCTTTATAAGTAAACCCGAAGAGCACGTGATTTAAATCTGGAAGATAGCTGTTGTGTTCAATATCTCGCTATAATATCATCAGAACATACAATCGCCTTGAGAAACCTACAGGTCGTCTGATTTAGAAACTAATAATGGATTTAATCACCGAAAGTGCAAAAGAAAAATATCATAAATATAGTAGAAGTCGTTTAAACTCAATGTCGCATACCTGGAGCTGGAAATAGATATGTTATCACGATCAAATCGCAATAAACATATTTATTAAAGCAAAGGTGAAAAGGTTATGGATACTTTAGGAAACTTTATTAAAAATGGCGTTATGTCGTCTTTGTTTACCCCTGCCGGGAATGAGCCGTAAGTATATGTAAATTAAAAGAATATACCGAAAAGTTTGCAAAGCGAGGGTCAAAATACCACAAATCCAGTCTTTTGAACTTTTAGATTAGATAAAATGCAATAATCTATGAATTACAAAATAAAAATAGTATCACACCCAGAGTCAATGCTAAAGTTCAAACTACTAAAATACCAGCCACTGGTCTGGAAACTCTTATATACATCGCATAAGATTCATTTTCCCACAGCCAGCGTGCATCTGTATTAAAATAATATAACAAATTAGTGATAAATCTCTCACCCTTCGAAGATAACCTCTTATGCTGACTTTTAATATGGTTATTATTTAACAAATTTCATAACAAAGAAATGAGTAGATGCGATGTTTATCATTATATATAATAAAATTACTATTAAACATGACACTTGAATTTGTTCTCTTGTGATTAATCCTCTTAAATTGCGTGTATCCGTTTTACTTCATCAGTGGAACAGGAGCAAACAGGCAAGAAGCATTATAGGAAGAGCAACCACTTCAGAACTGACAAAATTACTTGAACGTCTTAAAATGTATTTTTCAAAGGGTGATGGATAAGTCCCAGAACGTGGCCGAAACTGATTGCAACCGAAACGGAAACTTCGGTCGGTCACTAATAAAATATGTGATTAAGTCTTTGATTCTCTGAAGAAACAAGAGATATCATGCCTGCAAGGCCATGGTCCAACGGTGTAGTTGATATCTGGAGGTATTATATACTAATACCCGCAAGAACTTTCGCTATTCAATACAAGATCAGTATTGGCTAGGTACGTATTTGGGTTGCAGTATGCTAGATATCGCTGAACTATAAGTCTGCTGCATGACAATACCGGCACGATCAAACATCATCATTTGAGGTGCACTGCGAAAGCTTTTGGACGGTTCCCTTTATGACCGACAATCTATCTGACACCAAACCTCCTTAAGACTTTAATAGTTTTCAGACAGGACTGAGGATTGGGGTAGAGAAAATGAATAGGGCGAAGGAGCTAGGCTAAAGGAATCCCAGATGGAGAAATCGGAATGAATCCGAATTAGCTCGATTAGATAATATATTCACATATCAATTAAATTATAGAACAGCAATTCTTTTATGGAATTTATCCCTCCCACGTGCTCACTACTATAACTCCTGTACACCAGGATTAACTGCAGTGACCAACGAATAAACCGAGTTAAACTTGAGAATTCCCAAGCAAAGAATTACAATTATAAAATTGTATAAAATCCTTAAAAATAAAATATTTTAAAATAAATCTCTATTCTACCTATGTCCACAATTACGAATGCTCCACTCCGCAATCACAATTAGTATCATGTTCACAGAGAGCGCCGAGCTGCGCGTGAGCCTGCATGTCACGTTCATTGTTTTTCCCATACCTGAATACACTGTGCCTGTAGTTGGAAAATGGGAGTAATTACTGAGCAAGAAAATGTTAGGCCAAGTAAGTGTTGGTTTATTTTTGATTAATCATCTTCCTGAGATGTTAGATTCTCTAAATTTTATTATGGAGGTCAATCGGTATGAAATGCAGTTTAATGCCAGTTAAAAAGTCATTAGTAGCACATTGTAATGTGTCAAACTCAACATTATGTAACTGGAGATTACCTATTAGATAATTTTATTTAATTAAAACGACTAATCGTCATTTTATTTTGGCGTTTAGAAAACAAAAGGAATAAAACTTCCCGTTGACAGACTCAATGAGAAGATTCATAGCGTCACGGAAGAAATAAGTTAAAATATGACTAGAAAACTCGCAATATTTCTCTTAACTGCTCTGAGGAGAAAGCATTTTGGTTATATGTCGGTTATAAAATATGACAAAACCCTAATAGTTATTTCTAAACGATTATAATAATAAAGAAAATATAATTTAATTCACAGCGGGCCTGGGAGTGCGTCACGCCCAAGTGGCGCTCCTATTCTTTGGGATGCTGTTCGCGTACAGTATGAGAGTCAACATGAGCGTGGCCATCGTCGATATGACGAACAGTCAGAATAACAATACAGTAAGTTTATTTCTATTAAGGATATCAGTGGTTGTTCTAAGTCTGGGTGTTCTTTGTGTCCCCTTCGACACATAATATATTGCTACTAAAGAAGTTGTCTCTTTTTAAATAGAATATATAAGTCATAATCATCATCATCAACAGCCTTTAATAGTCCACTGCTGGACATAGACCTCCCCTTAGAAAGGAGGTTTATAAGTGTAATCCAGAAATTGACGAATTAGCTGTCATTTCGGTGAATTCTCCAAACGATTAGATTGTATAGGATTGTGTATAAATAAGTTAATTTAAACAAATGATATTCATCAAAAGTTATAATAATAGATAATATACGCAGCGAGACTCAATTAGTTTGTTATCGTAATATAAATATCGTAGTACACACATGAATCGTCGTTGTCGTTGTGTACTACACAAAAAATATCGTAGTACACAAAAGTCAAACGTAAACATACCTTACTTACCGTCACGTGATTGGTCTACTCTTTTGTTCATAAGAAATTATGAATGTTTTCAACCTCCCTGTAATTTTGTCACGGATTAAGCTTAAATTCAGAAGTTTCAGTCAGTTAGTAGGACTGAATAAGGCTTTAAGATACTATGTCACCTTTAATATACCTACTTTCAATACAAAAGAGAGATCTGATCAAAAATATAATACAAAAACAAACAAAACAACAGTCTCGCAAATCTCAGACAAAGTCAAAATCTATACAAATAAATAAAATTGAAGTGTTTGTAAAGTCAAAATAAATGGTTTTTTTCATGCTCACACGGTTAAAACCAGTTTAAATATTTTATGTCTATCTGTCTGTCTGTCTGTTTGTTCCAGGTAATCTTCAAAACGGCTTGACCGATTTTGATAATATTTTACTACTAGGTAGCTGTCTATATAAGGAGTAACTTAGGATTTTTTTTGAGACTGTGTCTTTATTAGACATCTGTGTGCCTTACATAAATAGAATGAATCGCAACCAGCAATATTTGCAAATTCAAAAAGCTAAATAGTCCTATGTCGTAAGACTATTTCCATCTGAGGGCTTAGTGTGAGTTTATTTCACATCATTGATTGAAAGTTTGAAAATTGAGTTGATGTTAAATAAACTCACACATGGCCCTCTGATTACCTTACTGTGTGAAATCATTTATTAAATAAAAAAAGACTCACTATAAATTTACGTAACAAATAAAGTAATAATAGATCTCTTAATTCTACAATACTTGACTTTTTATGCGGTTTTTGATTGAATGTTTATTTAATTTCTTTCCGTAATTTTGTTTTTAAAAATATTTTTGTCATTGCATTTATTGTATTAATAACAATGATTATAAGGTCTTATATAAGTCACATATAATCAGCGGAAAAATACTATAAAATCTTAATACTTAATGCGCAGAAAAAGCTATTATCAGACAGTTTCATTTAATAGGATCGTAAAATTTGTATCAAGCGATAACTAAAATAAATATAACTATCACAAAATTAAACTTATACAAATAATCTTATTTTATTGTTTAAAGCACCGCAACAGATACGAGTATCCCAAGTTTATTTTTATTTAATATTTCTTTGGAAAAACAACAGTTGAAAGTCGTAGAATAAAAAATACAAAATAACTATTTCAGTCCAGTAGCACAAATTACCGTTACCGTTCTTGTTATAAATGATACTTTTAAAATTAAGTTAAGTAGAGTAACAGACATTGCACCGACTTCAAATAGTAATGGGCGAAAATGTTAGACCTTATAAATTAAAATAAAATGTACTTTTCTAAAGTTCAGTCAAAAAGTGATGCACTAAGGAACAATAAAACATGGAATAAAATTGCCTAACGATTATAAATTATTTAAACAGTTTCAACACCTTCACATAATTTGTAAGGGCTGGCTAGTTCTTACATAAACTCTTACCCTTTACAACAATGCAAGAAATATGTTGCTAAGTTTTAACCGACTTAAAAAAGAAGGAGGTTCTCAATTTTATAATTCTGTTGTTTTCTTTTATGAGGTTAAAAGAACGCCGTCATTTACGAACCGATTAAGAACAATCTTTCTCTTTTAATTTTGTGATGGTATATTTGCCGTTTACTCTCTCAACGTTTGAAATTATGTTATAATATATATATAAAATATGTTATAAATATATAAACTAATGTACACGATACGGTACACAGATAATACACAAATCACCTAAGTCTTCACATCTTGCAAATGCAGCATTATTCATTTCAGTTTAATTTAGTTGCTAAACCGTGGAAGCGTTTCAAGCAAACAAACTAGTATTTACAATATTAGGATATCAGTCTGATTGAATACGGATCAAAGGCATGCAAATTAGAACCAGTATTATTGTATTTGTAGCCGCATTATGACCAATACTGACGGGCTACTATGAGAGCAGGATTATTGGTGTTATGGCTGCATATCGAACCTCAAGCCTGATTAGCAATTGAGCTTTATATCTGAAACTGAACGTGTCAGATTAAAACTGTTTAAATCATGTATTTTGAGATAGCCGAATGCATGGATAGCAACTCCCTTCGTGCCACCGAAATCAATTCGTTTTTTTCTTGACTTGTGAAAAAGTGTGTACCTGAGTAAATTTAAAAATTTTGTTACACTGTACATAAATAATGTTAGAAGAGGACGAATAAGTTTACTTTACCAAACAAGGAAAGCTAAGAAGTAAATATTAAAAAAAAAACCTAGTGTAGGACGCCCACAGGCCAGGTGAAGTGACGATTTGCGCAAGATGGCTGGCAGGAGGCTGGCTGGTTGGCTGGCAAAATCGATCTCAGTGGCGTGTAATGGGAGAGGCCTATGTCCAGCAGTGTACTGCGATAGGCTGATGATGATGATGATATATCAATCTATAAGATCAATTTGTATGTTAAATGGACATTGTGTTCAAAAGATATGTTGTAAAAAATTTCCGAAAAATCGTTAATGTATTTTAGCCAAGAACCGATACCAATTTCCTTTTGTGAAGTCTGCTAAAAATTAATTAAGTTGTGATAAACTCTCTTGCTAATAGGTCATATCAAAATCATTAAAATTAGAGTGTAACATTAGTTAGCATACACATGCAGAAGCTTTCTTCGAATAATGACTGTCCCTTATTTAGATCACAGGCCGATTCCAGTCGTAAATAAACAAGATAAGAATGGAAATTTTATCATCTGAGTAAGTGTGACGCTGGCGGGACCCACCCACTTAACATGGCTGAAATACTTTACACGTCACTTGTTATCAACGTACAAGAAATATCAATACGAACAAATACATACGTATGTTGTAATTTATTAGTTACAAACATTGAGTCAACTCCCTGACCCTTATAAAACGGTTTCTCGTCATAAATCTTTTTAGATTGTGACCCAAAACTAACTGCGTAACTTTATTTTTATTATACTGCAGACTTATTGATTCCGGCTTTTCTTTAAAACTTTGCTTTAGAGGATGTGCAGATAATACTTGGCAAGCCCTTTGTCGTTTTACTTTCGGCACCTTGTTCACAAAACCTTTAGAAATATCATTAATATCTTAAAGCAAACTGCCACATTCATCAGGTCTTTAATACTGTTGATAGGTTTGTAAAGAAGGATATAGTATATCTCTCATGTCCAAAAATGTAACATTTTGAGGGAAAACACTTTTAGGTGCCTTGAACTTAAATTTGTCGCTTCATTGATCAGAATACCACACAAATACCAAATTGTTGATGCATGAAATGCTTATAACTGGCACAGTATTTGGCATTTAAATAAATAATTGCGTTAACGTTGCCCTTTATGATCAGATATCAGATATTTAATTTGAAACCATAATAATGTTGGTCATGTAATCTCATTACTGATGATATCTCGAACGAATTTCTAACAAAATGTAAAACACCCTTTAATGGTATTTTGGTGTAATTTTTTATGCTTCCTGTATTGGATGTAAAAATTACAATTAATTTTATAAAATTAATGACGTCGTAATAAAAATTGCTGTGTTTCAAGCCATTTATAAGCCACAGGATAAATTACGTTGGGTAATAATTTGATCCTGCAGGATAAATTGTCAAGTGGCTCTACCAAGGTTGTGGTAAGAGTGCGAGATTACCAAGACTATGGCTGTGGTATGAGTTGGGATGAGGAAACTATTATTATCAGGAGTTTGGCTATAAGTTACTACTGAGACACTCGTGTTGCAGTACGTATATACCAACTTGACCAAGCAATAAAACGGCCTCACTGAAAACCAGTATTAAGTAATTCTTTACCGAGTGAGTGAGAACACAAAAGGGCCAACTTTACCATAACTGTGACCTCAAAAGGCAGCAACGAACTTGTGTCTCGTAAGTTGCAGTTATTCATAGACGTCATTCGTTTATTACACGTCATGTGACCCGTCAGCACGTTTGACCTCTAGAACATGAGAAAATAACCAACCAATACATCAATATTGAAGTGAAGTGATGCAAAGCATTTTATCTCTACTACCGTATGATACCGATCACGGCTCATCATACCATATGATTACGATTATAGTAGTCACAACATAAAAACATACATCGAAAGAACGAAACGATTGCACGATCTATAGTATATGTATGTATTTATCTTTTTTCCAGCACTTTGATTGGCAACACAGTGTTCAGGCTATTATTCTGTCATCATTCTTCTGGGGTTATGTGGTGCTGCAGGTGCCTGCTGGAGAGCTCGCTACACGATTTGGAGGAAAAGTGCTGTTTATAATCTCTGTTAGTGTTAACTCACTGCTTTCAATCGTTATTCCCGTGGCTGCTACTTACGTAAGTATCTATGTTTTTTCATAGATTTTTTTGGTAGGTATTTAATTTTCATGAGTGGTTTTCATTTTCGCAAATAATAAACGATTTACTTACGATTATCGAATCCTAGGCATCGACATAAGTTCAGTTTCGGGGTCACTTAGAGGGTAAGGTCAAACTGGCCTCCAAGAATCTCGGCGTGCTGAACAGATCGAAGCAGTATTTCACTCCGGCCCACCGCCTTCAGCTCTACAAGGCGCAAGTGCGGCCACATATGGAATACTGTTCTCATCTCCATGCAGAGGCGCCTCAGTACCAGCTTCTCCCTCAGGACCGCATCCAACGAAGAACGACTCGAATCGTCGATAGCCCAAACATCTCCGATCGTCTCGACCCCTTAGCGTTATGTAGAGATGTGGCTTCACTCTGCATTCTCTCGCATATATCATGGAGAGTGCTCCGAGGAATTGCTCGGACTAATACCAGCCGCAACTTTCCGCCAAAGTTACACAGGGCAAAATTATCATCCTCATCACCTGGATAGTTGGCGCTACTCTACTGTGCGCTTTTTGAAACACTTTTTGCCCCGCACAACCAATCTGTATAACGGGTTATCGTCTGCGGTAATTCCGGAACGATACGACCTTCAAACCTTCAAGAAAAGAACGTACTCCTTCCTAAAAGGCCGCCAACGCGTTTGTGACTCCTGAGTTGCAGACGCTCATGGGCGGCGATGGTGACTTTCCATCAGGTGACGCGTCTGCTCGTCTGCCCCCTCTAACATTAAAAAAAGCTATATGCAATGCACACATGCATACACTCACATCTTTTATCCGAATTCGTAGACGGAGGCCCATAAACGCCCATATTTTGCCAACTACCTACAAATAATGTAACCCACAATCCAAGCTTGTGCTCTCCATCATTTAGCGCTCACAAGTAGATGGCAGATTTCAATATTGGGTTATTGAGGCTGAGGACGCTCTTGATGCGAACACCAATTAATAACATTTCAGGCCACGAAATTTTGAACCTTATTTCAAACATCTTAGGACATATATTTGTTTAATTTTATACAAAATCTATTAGCATCAAGTACCATACATACTGGTAGATTGGTTTACTGATTATAAAGCCACAAACGTTTTTTTTTTCAATGCAGTAAGGACTATTACACTTTTGTAGTAAATTTAATTAATAATAATAACACGTGTCACCCACGGCTGTCTAATCATAAACTACGCAGAGGTAATTAGAATGCGAATAAACATACTTCTATATTTTTGAACACATACATAAATATTAAATAAATTAGAGCAGCAGCACAGCAGAGCAGCAATTATTTTTCTTGAGACTTCTTGAGAATACTAATTTGGGTGGATTTTTAATAAACTTTTAGTAAGTGGACTCTTAAATTGTAAGTTACTTCTAACTGGCGAATCGAAATAAACTCGAGTGCAGTTCGGATATGAATGATACAATTTGCGAGAGTGAGAATCGAATAAGCATGCCAGTCGCGTATGCAAATATAAAATACTCAAAACGTGTTCTACGTTCTAGGGGGGATGGCAGCTGGTATGTATATGTCGAGTGCTTCAAGGCCTGACTCAGGCTTTCATATACCCTGGAACACATCATCTCGTAAGTCAATGGATGCCGACTGAAGAGAAGGGACTACTCGCTACAATTATTTATGCTGGTATGTTTTTGGGAGTTTTTGTTTTCTTGTAGTTTTAAAGCTGACAAGTTCTGTTTTTATAGACTTTACTATAAGAACACACAAAATGATGTTTATCCTCATTATTCTCGTCGAAATAATAATTTGCTTTGACGCACGTGAGTGAGCAAATCTAGCACTGCGAAAGCTTATTAGTCAATAAAGAAAATAGTGTGTGCTTCTTCTCCTCTTTGTAACACCTCCTTTTCACGAATTCATTCCTACAGATTGCAGAAAAGCGAGAGCAAAGATATTCCAAGTAAAAAAAGTCAATAAGACTTAAAACTTATTGTAACATTCAGGTTGGAAGATTTTGGAGAGGAGGAATTGAGAGGGCTAAGTCCCACTAATTGCAAAGTTAAGAAGTCCTAGTAAGGTTCTTAACTCATTGGGACCCCTCCGTGCTTCAAAGAGAACGTAAAGCCGTCGGTTCTGGTTGCTATACGAACATTTTTGGCAATGTGATAGTACTCAAATCGACTGCACGGATGGCTGAGTGGTTAAAGCGGTCGCCACGCGGCTTAATACTTTGTGTGATCCACGAATTGTTGTTCTGAGTCTGGGTGTTCTTTGTGTCCGTTTCATGTATGTTTGTTAAGTCACTCGCGATTCAGGATACATTCCTAGTGCGGGAGTTAAAGTTAAAAAAAACTACATAATAATCCACACTCAGGGAATTATTTAAAAGAATGTAGAATATTACTTAATAGCAACACATATATATTATTTCTTTAAAGTAATCCATGTCTTTCTGAAACACTCTATACACTACCGACAGAAATAAAATGAAATCGAATTTTAGATGCGAAGATTTTTTCAGTGAATACAGTACAATCTAACCTTGTTGTAATGACTTTCTGTAAAGACACCTTTCTTATTACATTTCACTGTAACTGAACACGGTAAAGCTAATGAAACAAATTCTAAGTATTCTACTTCATTGAGTCAATGTTCAGTAAATTTTTACATCATAACATCAACAGCCTTTAATAGTCCACTGCTGGCCTCTCCTTAGAAAGGAGGTTTTGGCCTACTATACCACGGGCCAGATGGGTTGGTATAGGGTTTGTATCAAGTTCTCCTTCTCTTTGCAGTGCTGTTGTTCTGCGTAGTTTGCTCCCTTAGTCGGCTCTTACGACACCCACGGGATGAATAGGAGTTGTGACACTCCGTATTCTTAATCTGTCACCACACTGACACTAACTTTTTGTTAAAATCAATTCAAATTAAAAACTGATAAAACTTGAAGTTGATTTGTAAATCGGTGACTTTTTTAAACTTTGAGCTGTATGAAGTGTATGAGCAGTGTACATACAGTACTATAGTCTAATCTAATCTAAGAGGTACCGTTTGACAGTTCTGACCGATTGAATTATAGCGATGGGGTCAAAAAATCGATTACTAAAATATCTGATTCTTAAGAGATTTAGATATCATTTCTTAGTATGTACTAATCGATTACAGTCTTACAGATTTATTTATTTTACTATAAAATCACACATAGGCACACCATATTTTTTACTAGTATATCTTAGTAAACACTAGACTTGGACATGAGCCTACAAAGATTTATGTAAAATTACATTAACATACACACTTTTAATTTTAATTATAACGTTTTCGTTGAGATTTGGATGCCAGATGAATTTTAAGTATTATTAAACACTTTAAGGCGCTTGGACTGAAAATTATTCGTTATGAATCAATTTGATTATTCGTATTCAAGTGAATTTGAAGAGCCGCAGCACTCGGTAAAGGACCTAACTAGGTAACTTTGAAATGATTTAAAAAAAAACATCTATTGCGTATAAATTATTTATTTTGCGTTGCATCAAAGATTTAAATTTAAACTTAGTTATTAAGAATTGTATATCTTGTGACAAAGTGAAAATAGCTACATAACTCCATGGTTTTACGGAAAAGGTTATGGAAATCGTGTGTGACGCCTATACAAAGTTGTTTCGTCTTGAAAAGTATGAAACAACAAACGGTACCACTTAGATTAAATGGACTATAATTAAGTCGAAGTCGGTTTGAATATTTAATAAGTTTAAATTTCTTAGAGTAAAGGTATTAGTTTTTAACCAGCTTATATTCCTGTACTGGCGGATTCCTTCTTCTGAGGGCAGATATACGGGTGTGCGACCCTGGCCTTTTTAAGATACTGTAGTTACAGTCCCATTTCCAAATGCTAACTATTAAGTCAAAGTCAGCATTCGAACTCATCTTAACTCCAAGTCAATTATTTACAGGTGGTCAAATCGGTATAGCTCTGCAGCTAATCGCATCAGGATTTATAGCTACTTCTTGGGGTTGGCAGGCGATATTTTACACGAACGGAGGCCTTGGCGTTATATGGACCGTCATATACATCATCTACGGAGCCGATAGTCCTGAAACATCCCGGTTGATCAAGCCTGAGGAAGTTTTGTATATTCAGAAATCATTGGGAAGAGTTGGACAACAAAAGGTGAGTTAGCTAACCACCGACCTGACTCATGACTAGCTGATAACTAGCTTCGATAGATAGATCGATAGAAAACTCTTTATTAGTACACTGTCTTATAAGTAGTATTGTACTTAAAAATATCAGATATCTAATGTGCAAAGGGCGGAATTATTGCTAAAAGCAATCTCTTCCAGGCAACCTTAGGATGGAATAATTTGGTAAGACAGTAGTAGCTTACTAACACAAAAAGAAGATGTCCACTTTTTATATGGACGATGGTTTTTATTTAGAATAAAATCCATTACGGCTCCAATGAAACTAGTATAGCAGCTAAAGTTAGGATTTGCGGATTAGTAGGACAGTATATCCTGCATTTAAGAGACAAACTAAAATATATTTTATGTTTGTAGATATTTTTATTGGAAGTAATATTAAATATACTATATAATATTGTTTATTCACAAGAATAATCAATAGCATGTAACGCTTTTTATCTGAACGTGACGTAGTAAGTATTGTTAACTTCGGACAGTATTTTTTAACCCGGTGAAGTTTGCCCAAAAGTTTTGCTTGAAATACGAGTAAGAATGAAGGGTTATAAGGTCTGCTTTTTCTGATAAATTTGGTATTTTTATTGTATGCTTGTAAATGTTGACATGACTGCACAGATGGCGTAGTAGTTTAAGCGGTCGTCATGCCGTGTTGTGGGTCTGATCCCCACATGGGACGACACTTTGTGTGTTCCACAAATTGTTGTTCTGAGTCTGGGTGTTCTTTGTGTCTGTTTAATGTGTGTTTGTAAAGTTCCCCGCGACACAGGATATATTCCTAACGCGGTAATTGACTTTATAAAAATATATATATGTTATGCTTTCACGCCTAAATCATTAAACCAATTTTAAACAATTCTTTCACCAATGCAAAGTAGCTAGTATTTTCATAACTTGTCGCTTTAACATCTTAAATTTTCACAATTGGGTTTAGTGATGAATGAAAGAATGTTTTAGATTAATTTCTTTTTTCTTTTAATCTTAAGAAATTAATTTCTAATTCAAGGTTTTATAGTAACTGATACTTATTAATATAGTTACCGTTAAGCCTATCTTTATTCAAATGCATGATCATTTTGTTTATGGTATAAAGGGGGCAAACGAGTAACCTGATGGTAAGCAACTACCGCCGCCCACCTGGACACCTGCAACTCTAAAGTCACAAGTGCGCTGCTACCCTTGGAGTCCCTCCTGCTCGAGTCAGCGGGGGGGGGGGGGGGGGACTTGGGGTCTGGTAACCTCACTCACTCAGTGAAAGGCAACTAAAGAATTGCTTAACACCGGTTTTCTGTGAGGCCGTGGTATCACTCCGGTCGAGTCGGCCCATTCGTGCCTCATTCATTTTGCTTTATGAACTGTTAATTTAAAGTGGATGTAACGATTTCATTTACAGAAATACCCGACACCTTGGCTGAAGATTCTTACCTCATTGCCATTCTGGGCAATCATCGTAGCTCACTGTGGACAAAATTGGGGTTTCTACACACTTATGACTGAAATGCCTACGTACATGGCGAAAGTACTCAATGTTAATCTCAAAAATGTAAGCAAAGGACTCCTTGATCAAATTACAGGTTTAACTAAAGAAAATACACTTTTAATTAAGTATATTGAAGTAAATTATTTTATAAATTTGTGGTTGCGGTCTATTTGCCATAGTCACCACGCTTCCCCCGCACCCGCGACCAGTATCAAACTTTAGTGATCCTGCAGTGTTTTGGTTATACCGCTATAAGGTGTTCGCCAGAGCCTCTTTCGTTATTCGGCAGGGTGCACAACATTTTTCCTTTACACCTTTCAATTATTTTATAAAGCAGCAAATTATGTGTATACTTATAGCGATTATTAAAGTTGTCTTATTTTTCTGCTTTTCAGAATGGAATTTTATCATCTCTGCCATACCTCGCTATGTACTTACTGAGTTTTGTGATGGGAGCCATGACGGACGTGATCATACGGAAGAATTGGCTAACGGTAACAAACACAAGGAAACTGTTCAATTCTATAGGTAAATAAAAATATATACCATCTATTACAGCTTTTATAGTAAGAAGTAAATAAACGGGAAACCGAATTTAATTTAATCGATTGTGTAAAAAGTACCAACCGTATTTTAAAAGCATTTTTAAAAATTTCTATTATGAGTATCGTGATTAAAATTTTCAGTTCAGCAATCTCTAATTTTTATAATAAATCCGATTTTGGGGACCTTTCATTCTTAAAATATAGTTACAACTTTAGTACTAATCTTTATGTTTAAGAAACCTGTGATTTGTACAACTACGTTATATTGTATGTATGTGGATATATTTTACTACATGTGTATACATACTTGCTTGAGATCAACCGGTGGTTACATTCCGATCAGAATTCATTAAGTTTTTGTGTCATAGCATATGCTTTCTATGACATGTTAATTGTTTTAAAATAAATGTTATTCTGTTTTGTTTTCAGGTCTATGGGGACCCGCAATCGCATTGATAGGCTTGTCGTATGCGCCTGAAGACAATATGACGTACGCCGTGGTGATGCTCACCTTGGCAGTTGGCATCAACTCTGGACAGTTTGCTGGCTACCTGGTAAGTTAAATGACATTTTTTTTTTCTTTCTATCAGTAAAAAAATTTGAAAGTAGATACATAAGATTCATCATGGGGTGCCATCCTCAAAATGAAGTTTGGAGGTCAGCAGACGGTACACCTCTCGATCATGAGCGGCCTCCTTTAGTTGGCGATATCGCAGTCCGGGTCCAGGCCACGATGTCATCTATCCACTTCCTCCACTTGGTGTCCTCCTGCCTAGTACTTTTCCTTTTAACAGAAGCCTCAGGAATTCATGTTGCGGGCCCCTTTGTATATGTCCAAAGAAGGCCACTTTCCTTTTCGCTATAACAGCCATCAGTTCTCTCCTGCACTTGGCTCGCTCCAGCACCTCTACGTTGGATGTAAAACTAGTCCACGGGATTTTAAACATCCTCCGCAATAACCACATCTCGAAGGCTTGCAGTCTGTTACATATGTCTTTCCTTAAGACCCACGTCTCACACCCATACAACAGTGTGGACCAAACGTAGCATTTCATGACGCGGTGCGTCCAAGGAAATGGGATTTTTGGGTCGCATAAAACCTTATACATTTTGAAGAAAGCAGTCTTAGCTTGTCCTATTCGACATTTCACCTCTTCCAAATGGTCTAAGTCATTCGTAAAGTATCGGCCAAGATATTTAAACCCACCAACGCCTGCCACATCTACCCCCCGAAGCTTTATATTTGGAGTGGGCATCATTGTCTTCGCTATAACCATGGTCCTCGTTTTATCAACATTAATTGACAACCCCATAGCTTCTCCCGCAGTTGCCACTTCATCTAATAGAGTTTGCAGTCCGGCTTCTGAGTTTGCGTTAAGCACTGTGTCATCTGCATATCTTATATTATTGACCAGCAGTCCATTGACGCGTATTCCCTCTCTTTTATCACGTAGTAACTCTGTAAGGATATCCTCTGAATATAGGTTGAAAAGAAGAGGGGAAAGTATGCACCCCTGTCTGACACCTCTAGCTATCGGTTTCCAGTCTGACAACATCCCTTCGATCCGGACTGCTGCTTCTTGTTTCCAGTAGAGGTTGCCAATAATTCTGCGATCCTTTGCATCTAATCCCTTCCTTTTCAGAACTTCCATAAGCTTAGAGTGCTGGACGCGATCGAATGCTTTCTCATAGTCTATGAAGCACAGATACACTTCTTGCTGGTGTTCGAGTGCTCGCTCTGCCAATGTGTTGATGGCAATATAGCTTCCCTTGTGCCCATGCCGGCTCTAAAACCGAATTGTTGCGGACATAAGGTATCCGCGCACTTGCTCTTGATTCGGTTATAGATAATTCTTAGCAACACTTTCATGGTATGACTCATCAAGCTTATTGTACGGTGATCTGAGCACTTGACCGCTCTTGGTTTTTTGGGAATTGTGACAAAAGTGGTGCGTAGAAAGTCATTTGGAATCACGCCCGTATCATAGATTTTGTTGAACAGGGATACCATGCTGGCTTTGGTCTTATTTCCCATGTGTAGTAGCAGTTCCACTGGTATCTTTTCCTCGCCAGCAACCTTTCCCGTCTTTATCCCATTTAAAGCGTAGTCAAGTTCTTCCAGAAGTATAGGTGGTCCCGTCATGACATTGTCCACTTTTTGGTCGGGTCTGATGTCTTGAAAGAGTTCGGTTATATACTCTTCCCACCTCCGTAAACGGTCCTCTGTTTTAAGGAGAAGTTTCCCATTTGAGTCCACGATGGCGTTAGGGGGCCGAGGGTTGGTTGTCCATAGACATAGTTTTCAGAGCCTTATGCAACTCACAATGTTGATGTGTAGATTGCAAATATTCCATCCTTTGACACTGGTCTCGCAGTTCATTTTCTTTTGCTTCACGGATTTTGATTTGAAGTGGGTATGAGGGAATAGGTCCTGTTTTTGTGTCATAGCATATGCTTTCTATGACATGTTAATTGTTTTAAAATAAATGTTATTCTGTTTTGTTTTCAGGTCTATGGGGACCCGCAATCGCATTGATAGGCTTGTCGTATGCGCCTGAAGACAATATGACGTACGCCGTGGTGATGCTCACCTTGGCAGTTGGCATCAACTCTGGACAGTTTGCTGGCTACCTGGTAAGTTAAATGACATTTTTTTTTTCTTTCTATCAGTAAAAAATTTGAAAGTAGATACATAAGATTCATACTGTTGATCTTTTTTTTTCATTTCTTAAAATTTTGATTACCGAAACGATGTAATTAAATGTAGAATAGTTTTGTGTGTAGGTAATACTCTCATTTTTTATCAACTAGGTATTTACATGATCAATCAGGCCGACAATGTTGTAAAACCATCTTATTATGGTAACTCCCTGCACATTAAATGGGGATTTTACTTGTAGGGGAATTACAACATAATTGTACACACATTTTTTGTTTTTGGATTGTGTTGGATTGATGTTTCGGAAATAACGTTCTATTGTCCATAGTCTTGAATAACTTGAAAACTAATAGTCTTAAATTAATAAATGTACTATTAAAACTGTATTTTAAAACTATTTTCTTTAATCTTTTCATATTCATATAAAAACCATCTTAACCATTCCATCAAAAACATGTACGAGTATAGACTCGTTCCTATTTTTTTTTGTAAGTATCATATATATATCAATATTCTTACCTTTCCTGTATTTACCTGATATGCCTGTATTTAATCTACCTATTTAATTTACCTATTTCATCCAGACGCACGTTGCAAATGTAATTTAAAGAGGAAAAATAAAATCTGTTAAGAAATTTACTAAAATTTATTGCACGACTTTATTCTAAAGCTGAAGTTAAAAAGGATGAAGTGCACTCCTACAACGCTCCTGTAATGAGATACATTATAGCACCGCAGGAATACTGAAGTGAGAACGAACCTTTATAAAGTTCACCACGACTAGAGAGAACAATCCATTAGAATTTAAATAAGATTTTCAGTTTCACGTGTTAATAATCGAATTCTATTTCAAATTGAAACCTTAAGTTTCGCTAAAGTTATAAGTACTTAAGTCATCTTGCAAATTTCAAACATCTCTTCGAATGCTAACATTGGTGAATAATTAATTAATGTACTTATTAGTTTAGCAATATAACTGTCCCAAAATATGTCATTAATTTGACTTAAACAATTCCTCGAAGAATTTCTCATAACACATGAATGCAGAATGGAGAGTAAAGGTACATCTTAGACCACCGCGCATTGTAACTGCTCACCGTTCTCCTTCTGTGAGCAAGTTATGCTTGTGAAGGAGACGGCCTTTAGAACTTTCTCGGTCCGCCAGGCCCGGGAACGGGCCAGGTACCGCAGGCGCCTCAGGAACCGTATGTTGCAAAATGACTTACGTCCTCCTACCAGAAACAGGCCTGGTGGCGGCGTGACACGCTGTTCCCCGAGTTCTGGTACCAGAGACGGCGTGCGGTTTTTGGTCGTTTTATGCCTGACATAACCACTTGTGGTATCCGAGGGGATTTCCGCAAAGACAAAAAAGGGAGGAAACTAGTATTGGAGTGCCCCTGCATTAAGATTTGATTTTAGACCCAAGTTTGGTTCAGCTCTAGTTAACGATTTCCTGAGAAATATTGGCGAGGCTCGTATAAAAGACACCACTAGCCGTGCTATGATCCGCATAAAATGCAACTATTAATTAGTCTAACTTATTCGATCAAAATATGAACATCATCGTCATCTTATTCTTTGTTTTTGAACAGTTGATAAAACAATTTTATTAATCCCTGTATTGTTGTGTTACTCATAAGTTAATAACGTAATAGCTGTAAATAGATAAAACGACAGCCACATAATTCATTTTCGACCACAATTTGACTAGATTTTAAATCGAATCCTATCGTATGGACGCAAAATGTCCCATTCAAGGTCATGGACATGATCAGGCATTGCTGAGTTAATTGTGTCGGTTTCATCAATTTAATCGTGTGTATATTTAGCGGTGTATACGTGCGGACACAAAATCAGTTTAAAATTTGCGATTGAATCGTTATTCAATCGCAAATTTCATCAGTTATGGAATTGGAGGCAGTTTTAACTTAACACAATTAACAAATAACTATAAGTCGGAATTCTTGTTGAACACATTATAATAATTAAAACCTCGTTCATTTTAAAACTCACCTTCAACAGCTTCGAGCATTCCAGTCGGGTTATGACTAAGCTACGAGATTTTATGAAATATTATAATAAGTCGTGTCAACGTCGAAACTCGCTAAACGTTAGCAAAGTTTTCTATAGTTTTATTTAAAACTTTTCCTTCGAGGAATTAATTATTCTTATCAAGGGTTCCTTGGGCAAAAGGTGCTTAACAACTTTCCGAAGAAAGAACCTTTTTAAATGAAATTTAAAAGTTTTATGAATATGATAATAAAAACTATTCCAAACGACACCGATAGCGTGGTGACGGACTTTGCTTTGGGGTCATAGAATCCCTCCCTTTGGGGTTGTTGGGCACTTTCGCCTCCGAAAGGGCCTGTAGAATTATATTAAAGAAGCACCATTATTCCAACTCAAGTAATATAGGGCAACTCTACTGCTGTCAACCAGAAACTTAGGGAATTAAAGAATGTATAATTAGGAGATTAATAAATAAAGAGTTTATTGCTTATGCAGTTGCATTGGATAGTGTAAAAAATAAATTTATAACGGCTCTTGCCGGGAACAGCAGCTTTTCCACATAAAAAATGCAATGAATATAGAGTATATTGTGGTTTATTACAAAATAAAAGTCTAGATTTATGTTGGGATTCTCAGGGACTCTTCAGGTATGATAAACCCTGACCTTGGTAGTGTGATGAATCACACGGCATTTTTAGTAAATATTCATCTGATGATGATACAGTGATAAATAAACTGAACACTCAATTTATTAAATTTGTTTATCACTTAGCGACAGTTTTCCTTTTAAAGAGCTAAGTAAGGTTTCAGCCTTAAAAGAGAGTTTGTCGCTGTTCGGCTTTTTAACTTTTTTTTATTCTGGTCTTTCTCACAGAAGGAATAGTTAATCGACGAACCGCACGTGCTACTGTGCTGAATAAAATATTTAAAACTCCTTGCCGTTCCTAAGTGCATGAAAATGAAGTAACATCACAGAATGGTTTCCGTTTGAAATTTTCTTAGAAAAGTTATTTTATGATCTTTCTTAGTGCATTGATATAATGCGTTTTAATATCTGTACATTAGAATTTTATAAATGTATATTTATTTGAATCTATGAATATATAATATAGATATGAACTATAATAATACCGATCAATACCAAAATTTTGTTTCGATTTAGGAGGTTTATTTTTTTCTGTTCCAGTTAGTGCACATCGACTTGGCACCGAACTTCAGTGCAAACCTGATGGGTATCACCAACTTTCTGGCTAATATCATATCCATCATCTCTCCGCTTGTCTGTGGATTCATTGTTCAGGATGAGGTATTTTTCTCTTTTTATTTATATTAGAGTATTTTTTTAAACAAAGGAAAGAATTATCACTTAATTAAAACTATTTTTATTAAAATGAAAAATCTATAATCCGAAAACATTGTGACACATCAGTCCATTATTTATTTATTTGTATTTTGTCGTATGTCGTCACGGTCTAAAATCATTTAGATTAAAAAAAGTCAAACAAACATCACACATATACTCAACAAAGATACATGGCGTAGTGGTTTAAAAAAATCTCTCAATAAAGCGGCGGTAGCCTAGTGGTTAAGGCGTTGGATTTGCGATCAAGAGGTCGTGAATTCAAATCCTGACCAGTACACTACCGACGTGAACCCACTCAACAAGCAATTTAACTTAGCAGGAGGGGTTAACCTGAATTCTAGACTTGACTACTGCCAGAATCAACTTTACCATCGTTTTAATACAGCTTAAATTTACGAGTCACAACTGAATGGCAAATTCAAAATTTCTCAACTAAAATGAGGGTATTCTAGAGATTAATTTTAGTCAGATTTATAAGGATTCAAGACCGTTTGCTACTGCTTTACAATGGTACTAGAATTAATATTACTTATTACAGACGGAACCGCACGAGTGGCGGAAAGTATTCTTCGTGGCGTCTGGAGTGTACTTTTTCACTAACTTATTCTTCATACTATTCGGTACATCAGAGAGGCAAACCTGGAACGAACCCAAAGACGACGACGTTGGTAAGATAAATTTTACCTTAATTTAATGCAATAAGGTTGCTTTTCATTAGTTTTGAAAATTAATATATTTTTTTAATAATTCCAGAAATGAAAGCACCTGAGAAGTCGGCCATGGAATCATAGTAGTAAATGCCATATAAATTTATTTATTTATGTACCTGAGTTAAGTAACATTATATAAAAATATTTTTATAAACGAATGATTTTTATTTCACACTCGATTTTTTTGTTTCATCATCATTAACAACCTTTAATAGTCCACTGCTGGACATAGGCCTCTCCTTAGAAAGGAGGTTTTGGCCTACTATACCACGCTGGCCAGACGGGTTGGTATAGGGTTTATGTCAAGTTTTTTTCTCTTTGCAGTGCTGTTGTCCTACATAGTTTAAATTAAAAAAAAAACGGACCAACCACTTATCGACGTTATTACCTAGACTCTTAGTTCGTTTACATATCGAGGTGGAGTGTAGTACTACAAAACTACTAAAACAATGAGTGCATTGTTTTAGTAGTTAAAAAAAACTTAGAAAAACCGGTTTGCACACACACCAACAGAATAAACTTAGTGAACTGCCTTTTTTTTTTCTTTATGTTAGAGGGTCAGACGAGCAGACGGGTCACCTGATGGCAAGTGACTATCACGGCCCATGCACGTCTGCAACTTAGGAGTTACAAACGCGTTGCCCGCCTTTTATGAAGGAGTACGCTCTTTTCTTGAAAGGTCCGGAAATACCGCAGACGATAACCCGTTCCACAGATTGGTTGTGCGGGACAAAAGTGTGTCGAAAAGCGCACAGTAGTGGAGCGCCAACTGTCCAGGTGATGAGTATGAAAATTTTGCTGTGTGGAACGATGTATTCGTCCGAACAATTCCTCGGAGCGCTTCCATTATATATGCAATAGAGAATACAGAGTGAAGCTTCATCTCTACGTAACGCCAAGGCATCGAGCCGATCGGAGATGTTTGAGCTATCGACGATTCCAGTCGCTCGTTCGATGTGGTCCAGAGGGAGAAGCCGGTACTGAGGTGCCCCTGCATAGAGATGAGAACAGTATTCCATATGCGGCCAGACTTGCGCCTTATAGAGCTGAAGGCGGTGGGCCGGAGTGAAATACTGTCTCGATTGACCACAACTTGGGCAACACCAGAGAAAGTAAACATAGCTTTTGTTTTTTGAAAATGTTTTTTATTTAATATGTATTTAAATATAGCTAAAAAGTGTCTGTGAGAAGTTTGAATTGGTTTGGTATTGAGTGATATCGTTTGCCACTTACATTAACAAGTTATACGAACTAAAACTTGTAGTGAAAGAAGACGCCACTCTTTATCAAAATTTTCAATTATTAGCAGCGCTTGACTGAGTGAGTAATCATCATTAAAACAAATAATTTCGTCTGAATCAAATCAGTGCATTGTAGTGGCTTACAAAATAAAATAAAATAGTAACGAATAAACAACTTTGTGTATAATTATAGTCGTTATTTTTCAAAACAATAATATTTTTGTGGGGTATTTACACTTTTACCAACTTAAGTGCATTTAGTCTGGGCGCGTTCCAGTTCACTGTCTTAAGAGATTCTGCATCGTTAGCTAAAGTAACCCGCTATATAAGCGTTCCTAGCGGTGCGTTCCAGTGCTTTGGCAAATTGTTTGGTAGAAATCATTTTTGGTAGAAATATTGAGAATAAAGTAAAATAATCGTCTGTTTATAACTTTAATGCGGAAAAGCTATTATGGATTCTATTATGGATTCTCTGCAAAATAATGTAACGTTCCGGCGTACACGAACACGCACATTTTCGAACTCGAACTACACAAATACTTCTAACGATACCCTTGATGAAGACACAGTTAATGATACCAGCCTAACTAGTTTACCCGACCTAACAAAACAACAGCAGCAGGATTTAATAATAACTTTAAGAGAACAAGTTGAAAAACTAAAAAGCGAGTTAAGTAGTGCTCACCACGAAATTGAAAATTTGTCTCTCGAAAACACAAATTTGAAGAAAGCAAGTCAAGAATTAATTAGAAGAAATGACCTGTACAAATCGATCACTAGTAGTCCTGTTAAATCTACAACACCCAATAAAAAGAGACAAAAGGTACATAAAAAAACACAAACCGAAACATGCCAAGAAACAAGTAACAGCTCAAGACACCTAGAATTAAAACAGAATTTACATAGTGAGCCATCTCAAATATGAATATGTACAGAGGATACTGCTAAAAGTAAAATTTGCATTATAAGTAGTAATAAATATAATAAAGTTACACCAATTGCACAAAATACATTTCGAGATACTCGTGATACGTTATGCCATTATTTATTGAAACACTACAACACAGAGCAAATGCTACATCGAATAGAGACTAAACTATGGGATTTCACAATGAATGATTTTTGTATTTTATTTGTTGGGGAAGATTTTAATACAACACGTAATTACTTGAACCTGGTTTTTAATATTCGAAATACTCTGAAAAGAATTAAGCACACCAATATTATAATTTGTTCTCCAACCTATAAATTTGGATATTACCATAAGATGTATAACTCTAGAATAGAAAATTTTAATAATTTATTGTATCTAGATATATTAGCTCATGAGCATGCTTATTTCCTTGACTCAAATAAAAATCTTTCTTGTAACTTTAAAATGTTTAACAAGCACACAGGCAGACTTAACAACTGTGGCATGCATGTTATATTTAAGGACATTATTAATTTTATATGTGACATAAAACAGTATGATTTTAACAATAGTGACATGTTTTATAGTGATGATATTAATTCTTCACATGACATAGGTACTAATGAACTTTTTTCGTTGATACATATATTAATATAATGCATCAGAATATTGCAGGTTTAATCACTAAATCAAATGCACTTACATTACATTTAGATGAACTGTCGAATAAAAATTTAGACATTGACATAATATGTATTACGGTACATTTTATATTGGAGGGTCATGAGCGATATCTTTCAATACCGGGTTTCACTCTGGCAACCAGTTTTTGTCGCAATGATAAAAAGCGGGGTGGTGCCTGCATTCTAATTAAAAACAAGTATCGATGGAAAGAATTACTTGAAATTCTGAATTTATCTACAAGTCATGCAATAGAATGTTGTGCGATTGAACTTGTTGATTACAAAATTATTATTGTTTGTATGTACAGAGTGCCTAAACGAACAAACTTGGTCAAATTTTTTGAATGCCTGAACCAGATCATAATAATTTCGAAAAGAAAAATAATAATAATATGCGGTGATTTAAATATAAACGTTTTACAAAGAAGCGCAGAATCAGTTCAACTTCAGGAAAGGACATGGCCAATTTATACAAGGCCCTCTGCCTAGCTTGTAAAAGTTCATGTACATTAACGAAATTTTGCTTTTTGGAATTAAATTTGTCCTAAAAAATATAATGTATATGTTACATATTCCATGTACTTCAGATTTTTTAGATATTTACATAAAAGGATGTCATGTTTTAATCCTTCTTAAACTTAAAAGCAATGAGTTCATAGAAACTGTTTTGCTTTCATAAAAACTACAGGCGTTCGGAGCACTGAAAAGGTATTAAATGGATACATAATAAAAATAAATACGATATTATTTTTAAAGACGACCGTGGTAGTAAGTGCGTTTGAATTAAGTGGCCCTAGTTCGGTTTCCAGTCGGTAAAACATGCTTAAGTTTATCCTGAAAAAGTATTTTTTAACGAGGATGCGATAACTAAGAAATATAATTATTAAATACTTCAAGATTATTTTAAGTTCAGATTTTAGATTAAGGTGCGCTGAAGGACTGAGTGGATGCTTAATGGATTGGTAATGGGTGAAATAAAAAAATATAGTTTAAAACGCAAGCGTAAATAATACACAAAGTAGGTAGGTACTTTTGTATAAATAATACAACGTGAGCAAAATGCCAAAATTCTAAAATATAGTGACAGATCCGCTGTCATGATAACATAGCATTACGTTTTGTTTAGCAAATCACAAAGAAGTATAATTATTATGAATTAATAACAATCATTTATAATATTTTTATATATGTACATAAATATCATTACTATATTGATTTTTAATCTTTAGTACTATTTTGAACCAACGTAATTATTTTTACATATTTACGCTGGTTTTATACGTAAACATTACTTTTACTGGAAACACGTTTTCTCAAAATGGCGCAGAACCTGAATGTATAGGAAATAAAAAAAAAACTCTTTAATCTTGTGTTAACACTCGGAAGTTAGACAGAAATATGAAGGATGCCATAATTTATATATTTCTTTTTATTTTCTTATCATAAGGCTGTTATTAATGTACATGCTACCAAAAAACTAGGCAGAAACTGGCCATGTCCTTTGTTCAAGTAACAATATGAATATAGCAATTCGACAACCTACAAGAATAGCAAGTAAAACATGCCTTGATAACATAATATATAACATTGATGGATGTAATGCCAAAAATATGGAATTAGCTATGTCTGATCATACAGCGCAGATATTACAATGCCCAGTGGATCGGGTTTACGGTGCGGATTGGTGGTATGAGTTTAAACGAGACTATTGTGAGGAAAATATAGTAATATTCACTAAATATCTAAATCAACTTAATTTTAATGAGGTATACACTATTAGCGATGTTAATGTTGCGTTTAATAAATTTTATGATAATTTTACACTAATATATGATTTATGTTTTCCGACAAAGAAAATAAAACTATTCTGCAAAATACGGCCAAAATGGATTTCAAAGGGAATCAAAATATGCAGTAAGCGTAAAAGGGCTCTTTGGTGGCAATATAGAAAGAGGCGGACGTTAGCTAATAAAATATTGTACCAAAGATATGCAAGAAGACTAAAATGTATAATAAAGTTAACTCAAAAAGCACAGAATATACATGCCATTAAAACTTCAGATAATAAGTCTAGAACAACATGGAGAATAATTAATGAACATAAATATATTCACCCAGTACATCATATAGCTAATATTAAGTATAAAGGCAAAATAATATGTGACCCAAAAGACATAGCCAGGCACTTTAATAATTTTTTTGTTGATCAAATCAGGTCAGGGACGAACCATCAAGCACCCAAAT